AAAGTAAAATCAGAAGTTCAGTAATTTGAATCTGGGCATATTGTATCATGTCTAATAGCCCAGAACCTAGAGGCAGAGGCAGGAGGATCACTGCAAGTCTGAGTCAGCTTGGTGTGTATAGTGAGTTCTAGGCCAGTCTGGACTACAAAGTGAGATCTTATCTCAAAAAAATAATAATTTGAATGAAGATACCTATGTGGGCAGAAAACATGATTCTCAGGAGTGATAAGGCTGTCAGATCAAAGCACCATTGTGAGACGTGGTTTGCTTTCTTATGGGTGCCAGGGAAGCACCTGTGACCCACACAATACTGTGTGGCCGCTGCTGTTGGCCGCATGCCAAAACTAAACGGCAAGCTACTATTGCTGAAGATACTTGTTGTGGGTTTTGTTTTTTTTTTTTTTTTTTACTCTTTTTGCGGGAAGGCGGGCCGCCACCAGCCAGCTCCCAAGTAAATCACTCATGGAGGCTTATACTTAATTATGAATGTCCGGACTTAGCTTGGTTTAGTTTCTTGCCAGCTTTCCTTAACGTATCCCGTCTACCTTTTGCCTCTGGGCGTTTCCTGTTGTCCTCTGTAAATCTTACTCCGTTGCTGGTTGTGTAGCCCGGTGGTTGGCCCCTGGGATCTTCCTCCTTCTCTGGCTTCTAGCTCTCCAGATTTCTCCTTCTATATATTCTCTCTGCCCGCCAGCCCCGCCCATCCTTTCTCCTGCCTTGCTATTGGCTGTTCAGCTCTTTATTAGCCCATCAGGTGTTTTAGACAGGCACAGTAACACAGCTCCACAGAGTTAAACAAATGCAACATAAACAAAAGTAACACACCTTAAAATAACATTCTACTGCAGATACTGAATATTTTTATTGTAGGACATGGGAAACAGAGTGGAGCGAAGTTGAAGTAGTAGGCATTAACAGTGCCTTAAGGGAGAACTGTTCCGGAGAGCGGCATGCTTGTTACACGTAACAGCTTCCTGGTTAGATTGAAGGCCTGCACAGCCAGGACTGCACGCGCGCCATCTGCAACGCCGTTTATCATTCTGTCAGCACCTACGTTTCTTGGGGCCCCAGTCCTTGGATGCACGATGGGCCCAGCCTCAGTGGCAAGAAGTGGTGGGAGTGAAATTACTCTCCAGCCCCACTTCTTCTTTCAGAATCCACAAACACACTCCACACACGACCTGCGGAGACTCACGCCGGTCCATAGACTGAGGCGAGCCTGGGCCAGTGGGGACCACACATGCCAATCAGGCTGTGTAGACTACTCCACTGCGACACTGGCCCCTGCTCCCCTACTTTAGGAAATGACTTCAAAAGAAACAGAGGACGTCATTGCCCTAGTTCTTCACCTCCCATCAGGCAGAAAGGAATACAACGAAAATGACAAAGGCAATTTTATGATTTGTCTGCTACAATATCATCAGGGTTACTTTTTCCACATCACAGTGAGCTGGAGGCTGACAGACACACAGAGGAAGATCACAGCTCATGTTCCTGAGCAGAAGGGAGTGGGTATGTGAAGTGAATTAGAGAGACATCCACAAGCCATGTGAGGAGGTCCATGAAGGATTCACCTGTCTTCTGGAAGCCCATGCTGTAGTAGAGGCTCACAGCACCTTGCTGCAAAAGGCCAGTCGCAAGGACAACGTCATTGTAGCCCTGGTCCCGTGCAAACTGGAGGACAGTTCTGACCAGGGCTCTCGCTATCCCCTGTCCTCGATGCTGTGAGGACACAGACAGGCGAAAGAGCTGCAGCTGCTTCCTCCCTGACGGGGGATCCTTGACCGGCTGAGCAGCCACTGACCCCACTACCTGTCCCCCAGACTCAGCTACCCAGAAACCCGCCCCAGAAACATTCAAGTAGGACTTGGTGATATCAACCATGTCTGTGTGCAAACACATGGACACATAATTCTTCCAGGGTTGGCCTGCAAGGAACCGCAAGAATAGAAGCAGAAAGACAATGCATACAACAGCCAGGAGCCAGGAGCCAGACACCAGGAATGTGGCAAGAGGCACCCCAATTAAGAGCAGGAGGGTTCGGGGCAGTTTTAGCAGGTGGCGGAAGGTGGCAGGGGCATGCTCCTCCATGCCCCTGGAGAACAATTCCAGGACCCTTTTTCGGTCCCTCTCCTGGTACGTGCGGATGTGGTAAGAAGCCATGGGGAAGACTTCTGGGTCTCAAATCTCAGCATCCAGGAGAGACATTCCAATCTGCTTGAGTTGCTTCCTTATAGCCCTAGAAGAGCCAGAGGAAACCAAATGAGTTTCCTAAACCCCCACTTACCACCTAGCTCCCAGGCTCCAGACTCACAGGTGCACATTTCTGCTGTCACCCAGGAGGGAGCCGAACAACAACCCTAGGAGACAGTGTTGGCCTCCAGAGCATTATATCCCTGGCTCCCCCCTGCCGGTCCTGTGAGCTGAGACATATCCACCACTCTGAGCCTGTGTGTGTGCATCTATACAGATCAGCTTGAAATAACACCTGGTTTCCGGGGTAATTTTGAGGATTTAGTACAGCAAGATTGATAGAGCACAGGCATGTCCCATTTCCACCTCTCTCCTTACCCAGGTACAGGCTTTCCAATCCCCCAGCTGTGTTTCCTCGTCAGGATTTGTAAATGTCAGAATCCCGTGTTCCCAATATCAAGTTTCCGCAAATAGTCCCCTAGTTAGAAAGATCTAATCTACTAAGAAGCAAAGGTGAAGCCCCAGAGCATGCTACCCTTGAACACCCAGGAAGGCTGTGAGACTCTAGACCCAGAGAGACACCAACCTTGTCTATCTGCCCCTCTTACATGCTACCACAGCTGAGCTTCTAGGCTGGCATCCGGAACCTGCCAGGGCCTGTCTCATATCTAAAAACAGAGCTGGACTGGTGCCCAGCTGGCTGGCTCCTGGATAATCATAAACCAGAGGCCAAGAGCTGGAATAGGACAGAGGAGAGAGCCCTGTCCATTCACTTTGGGATCCCCAGAGGAATAGCATAGAGCAGAAGCAAGCCCTGGGATGCTCCTTACCCTTGAGGAAGGCTGCCATTGTTGTGGCCATGTCGTGAGAACCCCAAGCAAGACCACCACAGAGCCGATATTCGATGCAAAGCACAAAGGGGTTTATTGATAACAAGCAAGCCCGGGTTTGGTCCATGTCCAATACTCAACACAGCAGGTGGAGGAGGACGGCCCTCAGCTCTCAGGGTGAGGGGTTTTTAAAGGGAAAAACCACAAGCAGAGTGGTACAAGCTTTTGCATCATGATTGGGTGAGGGTATGGAACCTTTGAATTTACTGGTTGCGGGTTACAGTTAAAGTTTTTGGGTAGGCCTGGACAATTCCCAGGATTTGTCCTTGAGCTGCCATGGAGGCTGGCTGGCCTCACACGTTCACATTGACCCATGCACATAGCTCTAAGCTGGTGAGGGGTCCCAGACAGTAAACAACTGGCTGAACCTTGAGCAGTCAGAGTACGTGCAGAAAGGGAGCTACTGCAACGACTATGTCTTTTGTTCATGGCCCTCCCAGAAACTGCTTGCTCAGGTCTCAGGAAACTGAAATTGAGGCCTGATCCTGAGAGAAGACTGACAGCCTGTCATGTCATCTGCTTGGTCCTCTTACCATCTCTCTTCCCTTTTTCTTCTTGTTACACCATCTCTCACCTGGGATACTTGGTCCTCTCTCAAGCCCGAGACACACCTGGGACAGTGTAACTCACCCTGGGCTTACTTGGATAGAGGTCTCATTGTTGGCACCCAGATGTTTGATAATCATAAACCCTAGGTGAAGACGCTGGGTTGTGGTAAGGCAGGGAGCCAAAGTCCAGCCAATTTTGTGATCCCCACAGAATCATCCTGGAAGGGGAGGGTGAATCTAGGGTGGTTCAGGGTTCCTCACCCCCATGGGAGGCTGCCACTCATCTCCCTGTCCCTTTCAGCCCACGGCCTTTGTCCTGCCACACGTGGCCCTCTCCGATGCTCACCTTGGTCTCTGTATCA